AAAGTCTACCACATCTGGGCAAGCTGGTTTTGGGGTCACCCTTAATGCCAGAGTCGAAGCCGCCCTTCTCGAATGGATTCCGATCAACAGTCGTCTTTGTGCTACCAGGCTCCATGGCTTGTGCAAGGTTAACAGTCGTCGAGAAGACAAAAGTGCTCTTTTGTAATCTTCACCTATGCTCCTACTGACTGTAGCCCAGATACCGTCAAGGACCAATGCTATCAGCACCAACATGATCTGCTCTTAAGGGCTCCCAAAACGGACATCATTACTCTGGCGGGTATTCCAACTCACGAGTTGGTTCTTTGTTACCAAGCAAACGCCATCGTAGAGGCCCGCATGGATACGACCACTTTCGCTCAGTCAATAGAGAAAGAATACTCAGGTTGTGTACCGTCCACCAACTTTACCTCTCCAGCACGAACGTTCGCCACCCTAGACGTCACTACGCTATCTGGCACGCTCCATCATCCGCTCAACTTTGGTCACAAATTGACCACATGGCCAAAAGTGATCGCTTGCGTAGCAGTATTCAGGACTGTAGATTCCATTGATCAATGCGTGGAAACTGATCATGCGCTAGTACATACGTCGGTTTGTATGCGTTTTAGTGGCTCGCCTTGGACTAGACAAACTCGACTTAACTCTGGTAAACTGGAATACCCCGCCGTGTAATTGGAATACTAAAAGCAGCTTCGTGAGAACGTTACTGCTCCGCCTCCTCGGGACGTTGATCAGCATTGGACGCGAATGCAAGATATTATCTTTTCAGCGGGTTTATCCAGTTGCAGTCTTGTTCGCTGCACAAGTAAAAGTTGAATATCGGCCACCTCCGCGGAACTTCTCGACTATAATGAAGCTATACCCGTCAGTGTGGAGCGCGCTGAGCTCCGCAGTTCTATTTTCGGACAAATGAAAGCTAGTCTTCGACGTGACCGTGAATCCTGGTGCTCTAAACAATCCAAGCAAATGGAAGTTGTTGCCCCTGCTGGTAACAGCCGCAAGTTGTTTTATCTCATCAGATCCACCGGACACAAAGTTCAGTCCATCAGTCAGACCATTTATGAGTCAGACGGTACAAAGACCACCAAACTAAGCTGACGTCTGGATCGCTGGACAGAGCACTTTGCTCCCTAGTTTAGTTGCAAAACACAACCTACGGTTACACATCCACTGCCATCATGTGAGTCTTGTTCAGTCTGCATAAATCCTCCTACTGAAGCAGAAATACGGAGAGAAATCCAGACTCTGAAACGCCACAAAGCTCATGGCCTTAACAGTCTTCCTCCGGGCTTTTCAAAGATGCCGCGAATTTAGTTGTCACCGAAATTCTATCACTGTCAACAAAAGTATAGAGCGATGAGAAGGTTCCTAACGCATGGAGAGAATCTATTGTATTTCGGGTTCACAAGTAGGGCTCTCGTGCTGAACGCACAAACTACCGAAGAACCTCACTCATCTCTGTCGCGTCCAAGCTTTTTGTGCTTATTCCGCTGCGCAGGCTCTCAGTTACCAGCGACTGTTTACGTCTTGAGGAACATGGGGGTTTTCGTTCTGGTCGTGGTTGCATTGACCAAGTTTCCACATTGCGTCAGATTCTCAAATATCATCATGTTCACCGAATTCCAATAATGGTGGTGTTTTGGATATCCGAGCCGCTTTTGACTCAGTAGATTGGTCGTCACTGCAGAACTGGTTGCTACCAAACGGCGTTCCCGACAAGTTTGTCATACTCTTGAAAGAACTATATAGTCACATCTCTGGCAAAGTTAGACCTTATAGCAGGCCTTTTACTTCGTTTCCTTTTCCCAGTGGAGTACGTCAAGGTTGTCCTATCTCGCCGTTTCTGTTCAACTTTGTCATCGAAGATGTACTACATTGCGCACTGGAAAAAGCTCAGAGGTTCGGCGTTGAGCTTCTACCCGGGAGCAGAGTCGTGGACCTGGACCATGCCGATAACAACGCCTTGCTGGGAGACGACTCGCAGGCTATTCAAACCCTTCTGAACCGCTTAGTGATAGAGACATCTAAGTATTATCTTTATTTTGCTCCATCCAGGTGTACAGCATTGCTATAACATTGGCAAACGCCTGTAACTAAGCTCATCCTTTGGGTGTCAGTCTAGAGCTCGTTAACAGCTTCACTTACCTCGGGAGTTGTATTACTGCTGGTAGTGGTATGGGCGATGAAATTTCACAACGAATTGCCAAAGCTCGCCTTGCATTTACCAACCTGAGACACTTGTGGCGTCGTCGCGATATCAGTCTCAAGCTATCCTACTGTACGCCTGAGAGACCTGGCCTGTTCGAACAGAAGATTTGGGAAAACTGTCCGCTTTCGACAACCGCTGCTTGCGTTCGATTGCTCGCCTATGGTGGCAGCATCATGTGTGCAACGCGGAAGCTAGAAGCAGAATCATGGGAGTGGACAGTCATTGTCTCCAGAGCATAATCTTTCAGCACCGCTTACGTTGGCTCGGTCACGTACAGCGCATGCCGGCCCACCGCCTTCCACGTCGAGCATTATTTGCACTTCCTAAACGCGGATGGGAAATGGGTCTCGGTGTATAAGCAATGAGCTGGAAAAGGCGTTTGAAATTGCTAACTTTGTGTCTAGCGTCAATTGGATCCGTGCGTCTCCCTGGCTGGGGAGCACGTGAAACTGATTCCTAATGGTTGGAAGTCTTGAAGCATATAGCCCGCAATAGGAGTCAATGGCGTCAATGCTGTTCTGTCGTCTCTTCATCCTGTACTATTTAATGTTGAGCAAAACATGAAAACAGAAAACAATATACGCAGTGTGTGAAACTGAAAAAAAGTTTTTCTGTTTTACGCTCTCTTTCTTAGTTGAAAATTAGATTTTCCTTTCCCTACCATCAAGGCCCGGCTGGCACATTCGTCTGTTTACAGAGTTGCGCTTATATTTAGTTATTTAGTTATTTAACTGCATAGGATGAGTAAAAGTAGGTCGGGTAGATATGTATGTTAACTGAAGAAGCGCATGTTCAAGGTGGTACTTTAGTAGAATCGGGCATACTTGTGTTCCCATAGAACGTCAGTGGGCTTGCTAATGTTTCAGGATCCTGTAGCGGAAATAGAACTTAAAAACTGGTTTAAACACTTCTCAAACTAGCTTCCTACTGAATTAATATACAGTGGTTTTCTGTTTCACAAGTATGCATGCCTGGGACCGAAGTAGCCATAGCAACCATTAGAACGAGCGCTCTGCAGAATGATTAGAAAGCAAGCGTATAAAAGTCATCAGGTGAAGGAGGAGTAGTACCTAATTGGCCCTTCCTCATAGGCTTCTCTATGGACAAAATACTTTGAGATAGATACTGCCGGCCAATGAGAAGATATAACAGCCCCAAGTAGTGAAAGCTAAGGCTCAGGAGTCTAGCCGTCATTGAACTCAATGTGGACATAAAGCCTTTAAGTCAGTGTGTCAAGCAGGAAAGTTAAGGAAATAGGGAGGTTGAATGGATTCGCGCCTAACCCATTTCTTTTTAAGCTTTCTCATTCACAGCGCCAGAGTTCTATTTGTTTTGATTAAAAAGATTTGGAATATTGGTAGCTCGGGAGGCTTGTTCAGTTGTTGTGGAGTTGTCCGAGCTGAGCAACTTGATTGCAAACGTTTCACCACCATTTGAGGTGGTATCTTCAGTGTAGGATTGATAGCAGTCAGGTAGCAGTAACTGGTAGATAGCAAAACCAATAATGCATGCTGATTCGTCAATCAGAACGAGACAAATTTAATAGCTTAGTATGCCTATATAAGGAACGGAGTGGTTGCTAACACTATCCATTATTGGGTTTGTTTTCCACCAGCTACTGCTACCTGACTGCTATCAATCCTACTCTGAAGATGCCACTCCGAATGGTGGCGAAACATTTGCAATTAAGTTGCCCAGCTCGAAGAACTCCACAACAACTAAATGTTTTGATCAAGTAATCTACCCCCAGTCACACAACTTGGTATACGATGTGTGAACCCATACAGAATGCTTTAGTCACACTGGCTTTGTGGGAGAGATTTAAAAGCAGGCTGATGGGGTCAAGGGCAACATACGAACTTCTCTGATCGGCGGAGATCATCCGCTTAAATGTTTTAGGGTAGAGAGACCTTCCCTGACGAGTAGCTTAACTTAAACCCATTTTTGTCTACAGATTTTAGTGATTTCATCAACGCTGGCAGTGACCTGTTCATTTCCCTAATCCTCGAAAACAATCGTTTAATTTGGTGATCTGAACACGTTGCTACTTTCAAAAATACATATGCTTCAGGGTTCAGTCAGAGATGACAATAGACAGTTATGACCGAATGAATGATCATGAACTTTGTACTAAGCTTATGTTAACGGTCATTTTGGTAGACCCCAAATGGGGTCACAGCCAAGAGTGCAAATCATTCAAGCTGCTTTCTATTAATCGTCAAAGAGGCCCGCGTGAGCCGCTCCTGTAGAGATATGCTTCAGGTTGTTTTATACATAAATGTAGCGATAGCTCAATTGTCGCCTGGCTTGAATCAAAGTGTCGTGTGTGCGATTCGAGTGCGGTCATATCTAGCAGACGGATAAATTCCAAAACTCCTAAAAACTCCGGTGTTGCGGTAAAATATACAGGAAAACTGAGCCGAATCGGTATTTCTTAGTTCCTTTCCTTTTTTCCTAGATGTGAATGTCTGTTTATTAACTTACTTGATGGCCGAAAACGTTAGTGTGCATGCACCAGTAACGAATTACCAACAAGCAATTGTTATCAAACGGCGGTTTATACACTTCCGAATAGATCACAACCCGGCCTAGTGCCATTCCCTCAACAAGATGGTGCTGCAGCAAAGCTTTTACTGAACTCGTTTCCCAGTGCATTCAATCCAAATCAAACGTTGCAGTTAATTGCCTTGTTAGGAAGGAGAGATATCTTGAAAGCAATTCGGAGCTCACTGTTTGTGTATGCATAAAATCCATACATTTCATTTATGGCATTCTTACAAATATTAGCTTTGTGTTATCAGGCTACGTTTCGTATTCCAGCCGATGCATTGGGCTCCTCATTTGGGTCCTATTGATCCTGAGATGACTCGTGACGTTGACTTCTTTATGTATCCGGATAACAACTTGCCGTGAATTTCCTTTCTTCACTCCGCTGCATCGCCTTTGTTCTATCGAATGTAAACCGCATGATCAAACGCCATGTTGAACCGAAATAAAACAATAAAATATATGTAAGCTGACAACTTGTTTTGTTGCATAATTTCTAAAAGCGATTCATGAAACTATCTTACATACACCGTCATTTAAACGTTCGTGCCATTATCGAGTGAGGAGAAGGAATTGAATTCGACTTAACGCCTAGTTTCTTTTTCTCATCCTTTATTCGTCCCCTCATGCAGATTCCGCGTTACATCATTACCTTGCACGAACTACTTGCCCACACGCCACACGAGCACGTGGACCGAAAAAAGCTCGAATACGCTAAATCAATGTTGGAGCAAATCTCTCACGTGAGTTCCACCCCATGTGTTCAAGTGTACCATCTCGATGCGAAAGAATTTCGTAGCTGAACTACTGCTTGTGTGAATACACGCTAAATTTCCAGCGTTTTGATTCAGGTTGTATCTTGATCCGATGTACCATAGAACTACTTGTGCTATCTGTAAACCGTAATCGACCAACTGGAGGAGACAATTGCAAATTCAGCAGCTGCATGGGAATTAGGCCAGAACCAAATCCTGAGGGAGCCTCTGAAAGATAAATTAGAGCAGCTAGCTTTATTCGGGAGCGAGTAAAATGTCAACTCTAATTGATAGGAGAATCTAGCTCCAAATTGTGAATAATTTCCGTTTCCTTCATGAAAAGACGATCTAGCAAACAAGCTCGTTTTCCTTGATTCATTATTAGGCCAAATACGTCACATTTAAATAGTCAAGATAAGAGAGGGTGGATTAAGTCCCTAGAAAATGTAGGTGTCAAAATGACCAAAGTGAGTGTGAACTTTTCACGCGGAAGTTGCCCGATCGACAGCTGACCATAATAAAGCCAAGAACCTGACAAAGTTTTGTGCACACATAACGGAGAATTGTTGACACGAACCGCGATATCTGATACGTTTAGACACTGCACCCTCACATGGTAGATTTGGCGAAATGCTTTAGAGATAACGACGCGATAATCCGCTTGTGCTAGGTGGGCGACTATCGCGATAGTCGCTCCGAGTGAGGGCCTTCATTCCTCTGGACCAAGTCATCGCTTGGCCACCTCTCCTCTTCTTCCACCCACATCCCCGGTGAGCAAACAACGCACGTCGAGGGAGTCGGTCGACAGTCGCTGCAGCCTTTTAATAATCGAGTGCCTCGTTATACCTGGCCTTAGTCGGTACAGTTGTCACTCGGTTTCATCAACCTGTTAATGCGAGAGGATACAAGGTTTCTCCCCGAAACCAATACATTTAGCCAAAGCTGTACCTACTCACTGATGACAAAGGCATTTCCTCAACCTGCTTTGCAAAATAAGCTACCCTGATTAGTTTTCACCACAATGTTTGGCAATCAACTGGAACGTCGAGAAAATTTGCACTGATTAGTTGTGATACTAAGCTAACACCCATACTAGGTACAAAACAGGCCAACAGGGTGACGTTAAACAGAGGCAGCCTACAGTTTCGATTATTGATTTGAAATAAATGAGAATATGCGTAGCTCGGGGTGTGGATGCGGATTTTGGGCGGTTCTCCGAGCTGACTGATTTTGTGCAGACGTTTCGTCGCCTGACTAGTCAACATCATCAGTGCGGTTTCAGGGGCCTGGTTCGCAGTGCCTCGTAAGCGACTTCAATGTCCAAGTGCTTATTGATCGAGTTCTGCTTTGAATGTCAGGCTTCAATGAACTCAAGTGCTTGCCGGGTTTTAGCCCTTCCGAGGATATTGGTATGCTCTATGTCGAATTGATGATTCTCAGCATCCATGTGCACTGACATCAGGGAGTTCTGATCGTGGCGACGTATGTTTAGGCTGTGTTCGTGTAGCCTTGTGCCAAGCGTTCTCCCAGTCTGTCCCACGTAGTACTTGTCGCAGTTCCGACAGCAGATCTTATAAATCACACCAGTTTCTACTTCTTTGCTAAGTTTATCTTTCACCTTGAATAGTTTGCTGCGAATGGTTTCCGTTGGCTGGTGTGCAACTTTGACTCCAAAAGGCAATAAAAGCCTCGCTGCCATTTCAGAGATACCATTGATATAGGGAGGTGTTGTTCTCTTTTCAACTGGTACATTTGTCGAGGTGTGTTGAGTAACCTTTTGTGATGCGAGGCAGCGTAGAATGAAGCCTTTTGGGTAGGAGTTCCGCTTGAACAGGCTGAAGAGATGATCTTCCTCTGCCCGTCTCAGCTGCGGTGTGCTACAGTGGGTTTGTGCTCGTTTGAAAAGGGTTTGCACGCAGCTGCGTTTGTGGGCTGCCGGATGATTGCTGCCGTAGTTGAGGATCTGGTCCGTATGCGTAGATTTTCGGTAGACTGTTGTTTCCAATCGTTCGGCACCAGTCCGTCGTATGAGAACGTCTAAGAATGGTAACTGTTCGTTGTTCTCCTCCCTGGTGAATTGGATGCCATCGAACACACTGTTGATTAGTTCGTGTGTTTCCTCCAATTTGGAACGTTTGAGGATGACGAAGGTGTCGTCTACGTATTGTACCCAAAGTTTTCGTCTCGCGATCGGAAGTGCTATTTGTTCCAGCGCCTGCATCACTGCCTCGGCTATTAGACCAGAGATCGGCGATCCCATTGGTGTGCCTCTTATCTGTTCGTAAATTTGGCCATTGAAAGTAAAATGTGTTATTGAAAACTGTGGGAAGAGGTGAGTATATGTTTTGCAAAACGGAGCTTCAGCTCATCACCATAATAACAAACTGTTCTTCCGCCACCTTCCTGGGTGGAATTTCATTCAGCATTGTGAGAACATTTGGCCCAACAATGTATCTGACTCAATTCAGACTTGAGTCCAGCAGAACACAACACCTCAGACACCACATTTTTACTGGTCCGCGATATTTCACCTGCGCTGAAATCCGTATTTTCTTTCCCCATAGTTACTGAGAGGTCTACCTTTTTCATTATACTCATACATAATTCAATTTTAGCTTACTTGTCTGTACACCGAATCCCCGACAATTTTGGCTAATATTAGCAAGACATATAGCGTTGTGAAACAGCAAACCTACGTCACTATGACCAATAGTCAAAGTGCTCTGAAGAAATGTGGATGGTAGCTTGAACTTCAGACGAATTTCCATTTCTCGTTCATTACTGCACTCGTAATACATGAGTTCAAATGCCAGCCAAAATATTTCTTCCAAGGGCAATTGTGCGTTATTTTGTTCTCACAAAACGATGAAAGCAGGTCAGCTATCCGTAGTTCAGGCTTTCTGGGTAAGGACCATTCAGTACTGTCCAGTTGAGCACTTCTCCGCTCGTTTCTTCAAACGCCGGTACACACGAAGAGAATTTAGATACACATGGGAAGCACCATAAGGAGCGAAGGTGTTTTTTAGGTATCAGCACTGTTTCAGTGGGGTGGATGCGGTGAAATAATACCCCCTCATACAACCCATAATCTTCTAGATGTTTATGCATCCGAGGTAAAACGCTGCATTGTTAATCAGGTGAGCATGGACCTAATGATCTACAAACTTAGTCCGCATGAATGATGTGATATGATGGTGGGGAGTGGAATTTTTAGTAATGTCGCAATTTTCAAGGTCAGGACTTGTCGCCCACAATGGCGTTTCTGACCTTTATTTCTGGTTTGGTGCACACAACGCCGTTTAGACAAATTCAGACGCGCGGCAGAGACGAAATGTACCAGGGTACTCCACTAGCAATTTCATTGGGTACTCCATTCTGTGAATTCTGAAATGGTGCGTCATTACTCTCTACTCGCTATTGTCCTAGTTCGAATTCTACCTTTTGCAAGCTTCTTTGGGTACATTTGACGTAAGCTATTATATGCATCGGCGGAAGCCCATACCTCCGGTTTCTTCAGACAAACTGACGAGAGTGCAGTCAGCGATGAGAGATTGCAGGATCGTCAGTGACCGCATGGAGGGAATTATTGCTCATACAATTTTGCTTGCCGTTGAGATTTATCCAGCGCATATTTAGTTCGAATATATTTTCGGAAACAATTAGCACTAAGTATAAGAATACCCTGACACAGCACGATATTCCGTGAGGTGATGATGAGTCACAATTCAGCCATGCTTGCCTGTTGTTTCCTCCCTTGTGAATGGTGCTGATACTACGTTCATGTGACTCAATGGTGCTCTCCCGTTAATACACTGTCCTCGGTAGGGTGCACTTTGTGATACTAAGTGTAAGCTTGACACCGTCAGTCTAACAAAGGTACTGAACTCCATACTGCATACCGTGTGGCGTGTGCAGTCGTACCGTGTAGACTGTTTTCATTGCTGAGCTACTTAACAATTATGTGTCTCATTCACCATGAATGTGGCCACTTACTGGAATCTCACATTATAATCCAATCTTGTGTAGGCGCGACCTGATTACATACAGACACTTGGGAATGTCTTCTCAGTGGAACACAATAGTCTCGCTACCCTGGAGACTGATCGAATTGTATCGGTAGGCAGCAAGTGTCCGCATTGCGCTCAGCGGTTTCCAGCTTTCGCAGTTGGTTGAATTACTTTAGCTGATCGGAGAGCACTATCGTTCTAACTTTGAAATCTGTGTTTGCGACCAGTCTGTACATCTATCGAGGGAATGCTTGGCTTGGAAACTAGAGAGAAAAGGTGGTCGCTGTGTACTAGACAGACCGTTGTTGGTCGACCAGGCGACTGACAGGCTGTTTGGCTAGTGCCTACTTGGGTGATAGCACAAGCATTGATGCTGAGTAAATGACCGCTTGCTTATCTTGTGAGCCTAAATTTAGACTGACAATTGGGCTGGGTTTAGCAAATTTAACTGCGCTGATCCACCATAGTAAAAATTTCCCTGGTGAAACTTCAGCCAACATGTATCATTGCATTCGTCAATTTTGCTGATTTAACACGAAACTGCTTGCAAATGAACGCTTAGAATCTTTCGATTTTAAAGAAAGTGTGGAGGTTGTCTTACTTAGTGTGTTAGTAAATCACCGGGGACACATAGGGTAGCAAAAAGGAAGGAAACATATTAGCTGCAGCTTGCGGCTTCTTTTTGAGTTTATTTTCGGTCCTAAGACCCTAGAGTGACGGAACCTGAAAAATGCCTGTTTTTGATCTGGATGCACGATTCATCTTAAACTATACTTAGGACAGTCTTGTTTATGTTGAAAAGAAAGGGTGTAATACTTTAAAGTGACAGAAAGGAGACGACCATTCACCGTCAATTTAGGCTCACAGTCATGGTAAATTGACGGCAGTACTTATTTCGGTAACTGTAGTTCACCTAAGTTTCACTAGAGAGACTGGAGCTCAAAAGTTGTGGTAGATTCCAGCTCTTTGAATCACGTTTGA